CCGGAGGCGCCGGCGGAACCCGATCGCGACGGCCCCAGGGAGGAGGACGAGCCCAGCCTGGCGCCGGGTCCGCAGGTAGGAGCGAGTGTGGCGACTCCGGCTGCTGCGGAGTTTTCACCTACTGGAGCGGGGCCGGGCGGGCTCGGGGATGGACCATCGGGCCGGGGCCGGGGCTTTCTTCCCCATCTTTCGAGGAAGAAGTGGAGCCGGACCCCTTCAAAGCCTGGACACGGCCGGTCTTGTCCTCCCAAGACCTCCTGGCCTTCTCCCCGCCCCCTCTGGGCTGGAGCAGAACCTAAACGTTCTGGTTCTACACCCACTCTGAGACCGGGCTCTGATCTCGAAGCCATAGCTCAGCCCTCTGTCCACCCCCTGGGCCCACCTGCTCCACTACCACCCACAAGCCATCTGAGGACGGTGGGACCTGGAAGACTGTCCCCTCTTTCCCGGCTCCCCCCCTCCGCCCCAACCCCACCCGGAGTCAGCGGCTCCACCCCTTCCCCTCTCTGCCTGCAGCCACTGCCCCCTCAGCAGCTGTGCCCCTAGCACACGTCTCTTGGGGCCTCCCGCCTCGCCCTTGCCCAGCAAGTAACTGAAGCAGACAGCCAGACTGTCCAGAGACTTTGGTGGGGCTGCCGCCCTGGGTTGGAAACCGAGAAAAGCCTGTCTTTTCCCCCCTCTATACCCTTGGCCCGCCAGACGGCCACCCCGACCCTCAAGCCCCCGGGGTATGGCGACTCTAGGAGCAGTAAGAGGACCTCCAAAGCTTCCAGCTTGCCACCTGGAAGGTCACTTTCTTTTGAGCAAAGGAGATGATGGGAGGTACTCTGCCAGTGTTCACTGAGAGGCTGGGGTGGCATGAGCCACAGTTGCTCCGGGAGGGTTGTGGCACCTGGGGCTGGGTGGCTCGCCCTAAGCTTGCTCTGACAAAAAGAGTTTTGAGTTGGTTTTTTGGCTGAGCCTGCCAAGGAAGGCAGGCTCCTGCAGGAGTCTTGGAGGGTCGGATGCAGCGCCGGATGAGGATGAGGCGTGGCGGAAGATGCGTTTGGCTCTGCAGACACTGCATCGGGCAGCAGGGGACTCTGGGAGGCTGGTGCAGCCAGAAGGCATGGCTCTTGACAGCCTTCTAGTAGAATCTCTGGAATTGTGCATGTGAGTGGGGTTGCTGTTTGGGGTATCATTCCCAGAAAGCCTTCCCTGATGTCCCCAGTTTTGTCAGGTGCCCCTGCTGTACCCAGTCCCTGGTGCTCTCCTCTAGCAGCCCGCCCCACTCTTCAATAAGACATTCTTGTTAATGTCAGTGTTTCCCCACTGTGGACTGTGAACTCCATAGGTGCATAGAAACAGACTGTCTCTGTGATCCTCCATGCCTAGCCATGGGCTTTGCTCACACAGAGTAGAAATAACCAGGTGAATGGGAGAATGAGGCAGTTGAGAACCTGTGCTTATTGTAACCTGTTTTTGATGCTGGTCTCCTTTGTGTCTCAGATTACAAGATTTGTTTAAAATCTTTGTTTAAAAGAATTTCATTAGTTAATAATGAAAATGTCTATACCTACTGTCAGAAGTCCTACCTTCACTCCCATCCCCTACCCTAGGCTGACACTACTTCCAAAGGATGCAGCTCCCCAAGATGAACCCCACTCAGGCCTGGCCTGACTTCCAGCTGTGAAGTCTCTCCCACCCACCCAGCCCAGCCTTTTCTGGGCCCCATTGGGAGTATTGTTATCCAAAAGGGTAGAGAAGGGGAAGGGAGAGCTGTTATCTTCTCTCCTCTCTTTTCATACCATGCAGTACTCTAGAACCATTTAGCCAGCCTATAGTACTCATGGCCAGGAAATATGGGTGATGGCTTAACCATTTAGTATGTACTGGATGCAAATAAGTTCCTAAGAGCTATAAGCTTCATAAGTATGGTAGGTTCCTGACCATGTTCTTATCTATTCCAGGGCTTGACTTGCCAATTCATGCATTCATATTCACGCCAGGCACTTTATATTCCTTACTTCCAGTCTTCCTATCACCTTTGTTTTCTGAGCACCTAGCACAAACATGATGAGTTAACTATTGGTATGACTATGGGTTTGCTCTTGCTACATAACACCGAAGTACAAGAACTGTATACCTCACCTTTGTGCCCCTATGTCTGGAGAGTAATAATGAGCTGAAGGTTAGAAATACTGTTATCCCATTTTTCAGATGAGGAAACAGACTACAGGTCTCAGAGTGCACCTTTTCCTCCCCCCCAAAAAAACCCTGACATTCTTCTGTACTTTAACAAGGCACATTTTTGCTACCTCCACAAGAGGAGAAACAAATCGACAAACTCTGTTCTGATACCTCACCTTTTTGCTGGGGATGGGGTTCGCCATGCCAGAAGTGGACTTTTGTGCACTGGTGGAAAGGCCCTGTTAAAGGGTTGGAGTCCATCATTGCTCTGCCTACAGAGGCATGTGCCTTTGGTGAGGACCTCTGGCTTCTATCACAGCTTACAAGAACCCTTTCTAACATGTAAGAGAACGGGTAAGTAAGGTGAAAGTCAGGGTCTTTTGCCCAACTAAAGCCAAAGATAGCAAACACAACTCTACTTCCACTCCATAGACATATTCTAATGTCCTAACTCACACATTGCTTGTTTCTGTTTTGTTTTGATTTGATTGTGTATTTTAAACAGTTGAAATGCTTCCCACAAACTCTAAAGGACCCACATTTCCATAGGGCATAATCTGCAGATTCTGAGTAACCCCTACCCCTTGTTGGTAACTAGGACCCTAATGCCACTGTGGTTCCACTCATCCCACCCTCAGCTCATTTGCATAACCTGTATACACTTTTCATTGCAGGATCTTGAAATTAATTACCATCCTAGAAGTCCATACTGTAGTGTCCCTCCCCCCCCCCGTTTATTTGTGAGAGTAATGTTCCAAAATCCCCATGACTACCCGAAACTAATGTAGTATAGAATCCTATATACACTATGTTTTTAATACATACATACCTCTGATAAAACTTTATAACTTAGGCATAATAAGGGGTTAACAATAACTATAATAAAAGAACAATTATAACAATACACTGTAATAAAAAGTTATGTGACTGTAGTCTCTAAAAACATCTTATTGCAGGTAATATTTTCAGACCACAGTTGATTGTGGAAACCTCACGTAAAGGGGGACTGCTATACTCCTGATTGATTCAGGGCACTAAACTACATTGATCTCTTCACTGGGAGCCCAGGGCCTTTTTCACCCACAAGACTAGAACAGTTACTGCCTTATTAGCAAAGGAGAAAACATCTAAATCTGTTGGAAACTGTGAGAAATAGTGCTTAGTAGTACCAGACTTGGGATGCACTCTGCACTCAGTCTCCTCCTAGTTTTGTAACCTGGACATGTCTTCCCCAAAGCCTCATGGGCAGCTTCACAATGGAATGTGCACAAACTTACACAACACCTAGTACATAGAACCTCTAAGCACAAGAGTTGGAGGTGGTATGTGGCAGAAACTGTGCCAGATGGCCATCTGAAGCCTGAGTGTTTTCACCTGCCAGCTCTGCTGTCTTCAGTTTTCACAGACCACTCTCCTTATAATGCAGATACATGTTCAGTCAGCCCCCAGGAGAGCGCTAACTAGACTGTAAACCAGAAGTTGGTGAGGGTTGAGCTCATCCTGTTCTTGATATTTCTCATCGCTACAGAGCACCCCTCTGGGACTTTGCCCTACCGAGTTTAAAGGGACTCTAGAGACCTGGTTTCCCCATGACTCAGAGGTAAACCCGCTCCCTCAAGGAACTGGAACAGAGGATCAGTCAGTATCTTTATTAAAACCATCTCATTATGTTTTATCCATTCAGCACATATGACAGCCTCTGTGGCAGAGCCTTGATTCAGGGCACACTCATGAATGAGATAGCCCCTCTACTTCAGGGATCACTGCCTGCCTGGTCTGGCCACTTTCATTATAGGTAGGAGGAAATGATGTTGAGGGATCCATGCCACTGGTTCTTATTTTGTAAGCTTGTAGAGATTCACTATATAGAAATGTCAGACCTTTAAAGTAAAGACAACTGTAAAGATTTAAAGGTGTTATTTCCCAAAAATGCCCCAAAGTGTTTTTAAATGGACTATCAGACTATTTAGATACTATCAGTTGGACTGTTAAATCCTAACACCTTAATTAATGAACCTAGAATTTTTGAGAGCAAGAACAAAGTTTAAATTATTTCTGGGGTATTATGAAAAGTCCCTATGTGATCAATAAATAACTGTTAAATTACAACAGGTTAGATTTCAACCATTTTATCCTTACCTGCCCCCACCATTGGGCCAGGCTGGCAGGCATTCACATAGGCCCATTCGCACACACTGTACCCACTCTCTCACCTGACCTAGCATTCATTTATTCAACACAAATGGGCACCATCTATGCCAGGCCCTGGTCTAGCTGGGAATGCAGACGTGAACCCAACATATTTCCTCCCCACAAGGGACTCATGGTCTGGAAAACTTGTATACAGTCATCATAGCTAAGCTAGGAAAGCATTGCTTCCTCTGAGTTAAGGTTCAAATCTTAGATCTGGTCCAAAGCCTTTGACAGTACTTTAATCCATGGTTGGTTTTCACCAATATAAAATGACAGTGACATCAGGCTCACTTAGTGCCACAACTGCTGCATGTCAGGTACATAGCACAGAGCACTTAGCTCTGATTAATATAGATACTTGTTGCTAAGGATGCACATAAGTGATAGTCTAGAAAAAGCTTCTCAACTGCCTTTTCAAAGGAAGAAATACAGACCAAGACCCAGCGGCTTGAACCACCCAACACATGGGAGAGTGGTGAGAAGTCAGGCTGAAGATACTAGCAGGGTTCTTGAAAACCACACCAAGAAGTTTAGGTTTTATCCTGTAGTCAATGAAGAGTCAGTGAAAGGACTTCAGTAGGACAGTAAACTTGATGTACTCGGGTAAATTCTCTGCATGGAAGGAAGTATTTCTAATGGGAAGAGGCCAGTGTGATTGCCTGACTCCTTCTCTCCCTCACCCCAGCCTAACTGATCTTTAGCTCTCCTCTGCCTTGCTGAAGCTTGTCCCAAGCCTACAGAGTCAGAGTCTCTTGGTCTGGGGCCCAAGAATCTGTTGCTGTTAATTGCCCCCAGGTGATTCTGATGTGTGACTGCTAAATTGAGGGTGCTATGGGGCTCTTAGAAGAGACCTAAGATAGTTTTCATTGAATGATGAAAATGGTGCTTTCCCAGAGGGGCTAGGGAAGCTTTTCCATAAGTAGGAATAGAAAGACTTGGTTTAAGGAGAAACAAAACAAGCTTGCCCCAATTCTCCAGTTGTTGCCCTATTAAAATGATTGTCCAACTGCTAATCTTCCCCTGTGTATCAAAATGCTTTGTCCTGCCTATTGTGTGCTCCACCTCTGAATCATGGAATGTTAGGGCATCCCAGTCCAAAGCACAGACCATCTGCCCATGCACTTCGGAGGGTTGACAGCCAAACTGATCCTACGAAGGAAGGGGTGGGGTAAAGGTGTCAGTACTTATGCTTTGGGGGAACATTTTTTGTGGGAGACTTAATAGTTCTTCATGGCAAGATGTGCAGAGCAGAACAGGACTGAAAAGAAGCAAATATATGTCCCCAGAGAGGCCAGTGTTTGCATCCTTCGGTTCTGTGCCCACAGTCCACCGTCACATTTCAAATTCCCGGCTGCAACCCTACAAGCCACCTATCTTTTATTCCTTGCCCAAGGCTGTTAGCTCTCTGGATCTCTTTGGTTTCATCCTCCATTCTGAAATAGACTTACTTATCTGCTCAGAAAAGGGAAATTAAGAAAGAAGGGGCTGGAAACACAGAAGTTTCTTACAGGACATTGAGCCAGAGAACATGGAGTGGGGGTTCAAAGAAGCCTTGAAGGTCACCTGTCTAGTCCTCAGTCCTGTGCTTCAGGTATAATGCTGCATTGGGCAAGTCTCACTTAGTAAGTTTCCCTGTCATTTCTTCCAGGACAGAAGAGGAAAGAAACTAACGGGTATTGAGCACCTACTGTGTGCCAGGCCCAGGCCAGGTACTTTACATAATTTATTTCCTTCTGTCCTCACAACTCTGTGAACTATGGTTTTATTCTCATTCATAAATGAGGAAATTG